AAGGGAACTTTTATGGTTTTGCTTTGCAACATTCAATACGTCTTATTTTCTCTGTACTAAAAATTTTATATTACTACTCTTAACTAGAAAATGTCATGTTCTTTGTGTTGCAGTGGAGCTGCTAAATAGATAAACACAGTGAAACAAACTGTCACTAAAAATCCTCACCTTCAAGTAATCTAAGGCTCTTAGAATTATTATTACAGATATACAACATCCTAAATCGACCTGACCAGAGCTCTTTCATATCAGGTGACTTTGAAAAAGTTTTAAAGAAAATAGCTCGGGGCACCTGGGTGGCTCAGTTGGTTAAGCGTCCGACTTCAGCTCAGGTCATGATCTCACAGTCTTTGAGTTCAAGCCCCACGTCAGGCTCTGTGCTGACAGCTCAGAGCCTGGAGCCTGCTTTGGATTCTGTCTTCCTCTTTCTGTGCCCCTTCCCCACTCATGCTCTCTCTCTCTCTCTCTCTCTCTCTCTCTCTCTCACTTTCTCTCTCTCTCAAAAATAAATAAAAAAACATTAAAAATTTTAAAGAAAATAACTGAAGCAGTGTTATTACTGATAATAACGGACAACATATTTTGAGTACTCCATCAAGTGGAAGTAAATTATTATCTCTTTTCCCAGGTAAGAAAGTTGAGGTTTAGGGAAATAATTTACCAAAATTTGAACCAAGGCAATCTGACTTAAGAACCCACACTGTTTACACTGTTTATAAGAAACCATACCATTTCCTAGCAGGAAAATGGATCCACCCCAATTATATTTCTAGAGTAAGGATGGGCACCCCATGATCACTATACCAAAGATGAAGAAATCATTACAAGGTTCACAGTCAGGACCACTCACTGTTACAAACCTCTGTTAGACTCATCCCTGCCACTAGCACAGTAACCCTGCTCACCTGAGAATAGGGACTATCTTACTTAGCTTTATATTCTGCCTTTAAACAGTTTCCAGTGTTTCTCAAACTTTAAAGTACTCATGAATGACCTCAGAATTTGTTAAAATAGTTAAAATACACATTTTGATCGAATACATCAGGGGTGAGGTCTGCGTTACACATTTCTAACAAACTCCAAAAGGAGAGGTTGACAGTCCAAGCTGAACATCAGGATCACCCGGGAATTGTTTTCATATTTTTCTAACATTTTATTTATTTTTGAGAGAGCATGAGCAGGGGAGGGGCAGAGAGACACGGAGACAGAGAATCTGAGCTGTCAGCACAGAGTCCAACATGGGGCTCGAACCCACGAACCGTGAGATCATGACCTGAGCCAAAGTCCAACTGGGCCACCCAGGCACCCCAAACAGTGATAGCTTTAAAAGATTCCCAGGTGGGGGCGCCTGGGTGCCTCCATCAGTTAAGCGTCAGACTCTTGGTTTTGGCTCAGGACATGAGTTCAACATCAGGCTCTGTGCTAATGGTGTGGAGCCTGTTTGGGATTCTCATTCTCATTCTCATTCTCTCTCTCTCTCTCTCTCTCTCTCTCTCTCAAAACAAATAAACTTTAAAGCTATCACTGTCCAGATGTCACCCTCCACCAACAGAATCAGAATCTCTGTTGGTGAAGCATGGGAAATTGGAATTTTAAAAAGCTCCCTATGGGGGCGCCTGGTTGGCTCAGTCGGTTGAGCGTCCAACTTCAGCTCAGGTCACAATCTCGCGGTCCATGAATTCGAGCCCCGCATCGGGCTCTGGGCTGATGGCTCAGAGCCTGGAGCCTGCTTCTGATTCTGTGTCTCCCTCTCTCTCTGCCCCTCCCCCATTCATGCTCTGTCTCTGTCTCAAAAATAAATAAAAAACGTTAAAAAAAATTTTAAAAAAAGCTCCCTATGTAACTCTAATGTGCAGTCAGGTCAGAGAATCCTATTCTAGAGCTTTCCTACTTTAGCTTGGTCCATGGACCACTGTTCCAGACCAGTGCCTGTCAAATGTCAGTTTATGTAAACCACCTGGACATCTTAACATGCAGATCCTAAATTAGTAGGTCACAGGTGGGGCCTGAGATTCTGCAATTCTAACAGGCTCCCAGCTCAACACCACTGCAAAGCAAGGTTGTAAGTAGAAAGATTAAGAATCTCAGTAGTTCAGTGTGTGACTTATAAGGCTTTCCTTTAATAATTCTTAATGGAGAGATCAGTAGAACACTACAGATGGAGGTTTAGGCGCAGGCATATGAAATACCATATGGGGTGTGGGGATTATGAAGTCAAATTATTGACCTAACATTGGTTTAGATGTAGTTTGATATTAATCTTCATTAGCATGCATGAGAAAGATTATATTGAACTTACCATGGCCATGATACTGAATATTAAGGCTCTGTTAGGAGCTTGAGTCAATTTAATACAGATTCTGTACATCAGTTGATAGAAAGCTTATGAGATCCACAGTAGAAAAAGAAAAAAAGATTAAGGCACTGGAAATGTACCCATCTGGAGTTCTGACAAATTGGTACTCCTATGTAAAATACCTTCATATAACTTTCTCGTTTTGCTTCCCCAAACAACAAATCAATGGATAATATTTCTCATCCAGTATTGCAAATCTTGTGTTAAATGACCTCTGCTAAAAGGAAATGCTGTTGCTTCCTTTAAAAGATAAAAATTGCACTGATATATGAATTAAAAAATGGCTGTATCATCTCAACCAGTTAAAACAGTAACTGCCAATCAGATTTTTATTTAGACCCACGATTACCCTTGTAATAATATATACGTCCAATGTCATTTAAAGTCTTGGGGCGCCTGGGCAGCTCAGTTGGCTGAGCATCCAACTCTTGATTTCGGCTCAGGTCATGATCCCAGGGTCATGAGATCGAGTCCTACATCAGGCTCCATGCTGAGTGTGGACCCTGCTTAAGATGCTCTCTTTCCCTCTGCCCTTTTCCTCTGCTCTCCCACTCTCTCTCTAAAACAAATTTTAAAAAATAAATAAAAACAAAGTGTTTTAATATGGTCTTTGATAAAAGATCATCCACTTCAGCAAGCATCCCACAGCACTCTTCATACTAATATCCATCATTATCCAGGGCATTACTTTAAGTTGTGAACTAGAGAATTAGAATGTTTCTAGGAAACCCTATTTCAAATCCAGGACCATTTCCTGAAGTCATCACCAATTTATATAGAAGACACTCAACAAACAGAGCCCCAAATCACCAAGGCCAGCCAGGGCCAGGACTGTCTGAGAGAAATTAAAAGAACATCCATCAGACGACTGGACCACTGAGCTTCTCCCTGATAATCAAGGCACTGCTGGAGAAACGAAGCAAGTACAGAAGAGCGCCCAGGAAACTCACCTTGGAGGGCATTTCCTACAAATACAGAATCAAAAAGATGCACAAGCAGCACCCAAGTGCTCCTGTGTGTGCATCTCTGCAGCTGGCCTCAGCACACCCCTCATCATCCAAGAGTTCGCTCATGCCCACAGCTGCAAGCCTCACATCCAAATGGTAACTCCAAAGTCCTGCAGCCAGCCTTCAATCTCACACTCCCAACAGCACTTCTACATAAAGCACCATCGCTCTCCTGAAATTTAACCTGTTTAAACTGACCTCACTACTAGCTACTCTCCTACAAACCCCACCGATCTCCCCAATTCCTATTACTTCTAGATTCAGTAAGTCATCCACGCTTGAAGTCTCACAATGATTTTGACTCAGCCTGCATGTCCTATATTCAAACATTTGCTAAATCCTTGCATCTGTTTTTCTTTACCAGGTTTTTCTTGTGTATTTTCTTACATCCCTTAGATTATTATTCAGACTACTACAAAACTCACAATAGGTTTAAAATAAATATCCACAAACTAGAACTTAGCAAATTCTTACAACAAAGCTATAAAATGAGTGGTAAGGTTATTTCCACCTCACCAATGGAATCACAGGCTGTCTGGAGTAAAACAAGATCAGGCAGCCAGTAAAGAGGATGACGTGACCTCCTTGTCTTCTGATCCCAAATCCCCATATTTATGCCACCCTACCACAGAGTGTTGTACTTTATGAAAAGAAAGTGGTATTTCAGGAAGTCCAGCAATAGGTGTGCCAGATAGTTAGAGCTGAGAGGACAGTGCTGGCAGCTCAGAGACTGATACAGGACTTGAGCTCATGGCACAGTAGCATGATGACATAAATTTTGATTTATTTATCTCCTATGATGTACACCAGGCATTGTTAAGCTACTTGATTTTCTTTTCTTGATTTCTGCTACCTGACTAATCTCATTTGCTTCCCCTTCCTTTACCAGATAGGTATTATACATTGCATTTTATACGTGGAAACGTTCTCAGATTTTCTGTAATTACTCAATATCACACATCTAGTAAGTAACTGAGACAGGATTCAAACCCAGATAGGACTGGCTCTGAAACCTAGCAGAGCCCCCATCACTCATCACTGAGCAAGGATCCCTTTGTGGTAAATAAAAAAACAAAATCCATTATAAGTGCTTGGAAGAGAAGCTGGAAAGAAAAAAAAATAAGAACCCATTTTCTGCAAAACTAGTCTTCAAACCCAAAAGAAAAGGACTAAAGAGATTACTACAGCAAGAGCTACCCAATATTAAACCTATGAGACTGCGGAGCTTCCTGCTCCTGATGATACAAGAAAAATCGGAAACTCACTGGTCAGCCAGATCTCTAAAGACAATTTCACAGGATCAAAATCTTTTCCTCACTCAGAAGCTTAACTAATACCACATTATTTTCATTCTTATTTTGATACTTATAAACTAAAATGCCTGCAGGTTTTAAACTGAAATGTCAAAAACATTTTTGAAATCACACTTCACGTGCTTTTTCCTAGACAAACACTAAAGAAAGAGAAAAACTGAAGAAAAGGGATACTTTTAAACACCAGCATTCCATTTGAAAAGAGGGAAAACAAACAAACAAAAAAGGAAGGCAAAAAAACCAAAACTATCAAATTTGGAGTGGACCCAAGACTGACTGAAGCACTCTCCTCAGGCATATCAGTTGCACACTGATGTAATTCACCTCTTCTGCTGTACTCCATATCCTGAGCGGTATCTGAAAGAAAAGCCAGGAGGCTGAGACATAAAATATATCTATTATGCTAAACAGTTAATTTTAAAATGCAGTTTTATATGTTTCAGAGAACCAAAAGAGAGGATCCTGCCATGTTACTATATTTGGTATCTCTCTTTTCCTATCTGTCCAAACCCAAGCTCAATAGAAATGGACAATATTTAGCTCTGTGAATGGTCACAGTGACAACATTTGTGCCTTATAGTCTTCAGGTCACAACTTACTGATTGGAGTTGCAATCATCAGATGATAAGCCAGCAAGGGAGAAGCACCCAGACACAAAGGAACCCATTGGAACATGTACAACTGTAAGTCTCTAATTATCCTTTCTAATTCTGGAGCCATGTGACTGGACTTCACACAGCACTGCTGACCCCATCAGCCTGAGTGCTATGTAGCGGACCACAAAGGGAGGGGATGCTCCTCTTTGCTCCTTCATTAAAATATTGTGTTACAATCACAGGGTGAGTTATTTCCTGACCGACATGCGGCTTCCTCGCCAACATTCAGTGTCCAGAGCACTTCAGAGCACCTGAGAGTATTTAACTATTCCTGTCCAGATTTATTCCAAGGTCTTAAGAGGTTTTTTTCACCTTATAAAGAATGATGTATTTGATATCAAAAAGGTATATAATCCTTCAAAAGACAAATAGTGAGCACATGTACTCTTTAAAAATGCCCTTTCCAACTTGATACTAGAATACTACAGATTTGAAATGTTTTCTTCTTTGATTTAAGTGGAGAGAGTAACAGGGAAGAACAACCCCCACCCCTGACCACCAATGCATGGCTAAATCCAAATTGGAAGGCACTGCTGAGAGAGAGAACTAAGTTTTGCTGAAGTGATACAACATCCTCATTAACCTTCCCAAACACTTGCACCTTTCTTTAAAGAAGCAACACAAAAGAGAATAGTGTTATCTTGCGTTCAAATGAAATCACTGTCAAATACTGCCACTGAAATCACCTTTTTTTTTCTTTTTTTAGAGAGAGTGAACACACCCATGCTGGGTGCACAGGCTCCACACCCAAAAGAGCCCAACACAGGGCTCGATCTCATGACTGTGAGATCATGATCTGAGCCAAAATCAAGAAAGAGTCAGACACTCAGGCACCCCTGAAATCATCTTTAATGACAAAGTAAATCACATACTGAAGTAGAAAAGGATTTAAAAATATACCTAGGCAATGCCAAATATATTTTTGTTTTGAAACCAAAAATAAATGGGCTCTGGAGCCTGACTGCCTGGGTTCAAACCCTGGGCATGCAACTTACCATCTGTGTTACTTTGAGTAAGTTACTCAAATGCGCTATGCCTCAGTTTCCTCATCTAGAAAATGAGAACATTAATTGCTCCTTTCTCCTAGCTTATTATGAGAATTACATACCATGTGTTTACTAAATAAAAACTATAGGATGCCTATGATACAGAATTGTGCTTAGAGACAACCTAAGTAATATTATAATCTTTTCTACTGGCTGACAGTTAATATTTTATACATTAAAATCAATACCTCAACAGAGATGGGCTTAATTTCTTGGTTCAGGTCTAGTTAGAATCAAAGAAGCATTATCAGGGAGACAGTCATATCATCATCAGTCATTAGTCATATCATAAGTCGTGTATCATCCCCTTTTCTTTGTGCCTTCTTGAGAGTTCACTTTATTCAATATAGTCAGACCCCACCCCCCCAGTCCACTGCCAAGGGAAGAGGAGAGGCCAGTGAATAGAGACAGAATACTAGGCATGTACACTTGTTTGATTTATCACTTTCCTTATACAAATGTCACATTTATTAATAAAATTGGAAAATGTTTTTTCACTTGAATCCTAACACTTTGGCCCTGAGCACGTTGTTGAGGGAAGTCAATCAGGCTGACTATTGGGCAGTCAGCATTCAAGTCTGGATTTCCTTAACAGGCTCCATAGTCTACTTCCTTACCTCTGCAGAAGAATGTTTTAATGTAAAGGAAATGTTTAAAAGCCTGCTCACTGATTACTTTAAAAATTTGTGGAGACATGTTTGTTAACAATTTGGTAAATTTTTTTTTCTCAAATTGAACACACACACCACCAACAACAATAAATTCTACAATTACCAACTCACACTTCTGGTTCCATAGACATATGGCATTAGAGAAATTAGATTTAGAAAAAGAATAAAGGTATGAGACCAGGCTGCCTAGAAGAGCAAATGTATCTAATCTAGGAGTCAGACAATTTGAACTCTGGTAAAGGATCTCTCACAGGTAAATCCATCCCACCAAACTGGGACTCAGATTCTTTACTGTAAAACAAGACTATCTAAGGCCCCCTTCAAGCTAAAAAAAATGTCATAATTCTTCAACCTACAATTTTTCTGGTGCTGCAACTTAAAAGCACCAAAAAGTCAGAGGGGTAAAGAAAAGCATAAAAGTTATTCCAGTTTCTTTAAAATTTTTTAGGAAAAAATAAGTAAAACTTCTTAGATCATTGAGCCCGCCCTACATTTTTAACCCTGAATGGACACATAAATCATAAAACAAAACCTTCTTCACCTGTAACCACATATGCCAACTCGAAGAACACAAATAGGTCTGTTCAAGTTACCAGAAGTGTTAAAGGAAGGGAAGAATGACCACTAGTCAGGAATCACATGGAAGAGTATCAGAGCTGAAAGAAGCGTGGCTGACACATCCCTAAGATGCTTCTCATTCATATTAGAATTCACTCTTTTTTTTTTTAATTCCAGTTAGTTGCACAGTGTTAGTGTCAGGTGTACAATTTAGGAATTTAACTCTTCCATACAACACCGAGTGCTCATCACAAGTGCACTCCTTAATCCTCACCGCTTAGCTCATTGATCCCCCCACCCACCTCCATTCTGGTAACCATCAGATTGTTCTCCATAGTTAGAGTCTGTTTCTCAGTTTGTCTTACTACTGGCCAAGATCTCAAGGTTTGACAATGCAGGTAATGAAGCTTTATCTTGAGATTGCCTAAAGTGTACTGCTGTCTAAATCTGAGATGCTAAAATATACTATAACTTGCCAAATACTCTTTCTTAACTATCTAACTCTGCCCTACTAATAATGACTGGCACCCACACTGGCCCCAATGATGGCTACTTCCTATTGTAAATAAGCAAACCATACATTTGATAAACATTTCACCTAATTCCTTCCTGATCTGACTTTCTGATGTTCATCTCTTTTTATTTACTTACTCTCCCTGAAGCTTCTGCAGCAAAGCCTCTCAGCCCAAAATACCTCAGCTCCCCCATATATTTTTTGGGTCTGTAATATAAACAACTTCAACTCACCCCAGAAAGCTGGACTGAAGTTCTAATAAAATTATCTGCATGCCTATACTATTGCATTTTATCTCAACTTACAGTTATCAGAGATGATGGGGAAACAAAAGGGCCCTCCTCCCACCCCAAGGGGAGGACCATGGTCCTCAGAAACACCTTACCCTCAGGGACACCCCCTCCCACCCCCTAGCCCCGGAAATAGAGAAAGTCTAAATGTGGACTCGCCAACCAATTCTAACTCACACCTTTACTCAAGCTCCTACTTTGTACCATACACCGTGCTAGTTGCTTTAATCTATATTAACTCTTTAAATCTCACAGCTACATAGCATGCTGGATACCATTAACCTAATTTTGCCAATAAATAAAGTGAGTATCAGAGAAAATAAGTGGCTTGCCCAAGTAATTCAGACTAAGGTCTTCTGCTTTTGAGACTAGTGTTGTTTCATTATATCACTAGTGACCCAAGAAAGCAATCAACATCCATTTGGATGTTCCATTTCACATGGAAATGCATAGCTACAATTTATAAATGCCAGTCTTGAATGTGTTCATGCAAGAATTATAAACCTATAAACTGGTTATAGAAAACACTCAACATAAGATGCTCACAAAGAGAGGTTCATTGGAAACCTGTATAATAAATACTGACTTTTAAAAAAAAAGTGCTGACACTATTTCATACAGCTTTAAAATAGTTTATCCCCTTAAATCTCCCCTTGACTTTGCCCCCCCCACACACACACACTTTAATTCAGGAAAATTATATCAAAACTGAATTCATAAAATCATTAAGAAGTTTAGCATTCTCTACCCACTGATAAAGATGCTAAAAAACAGGTGAATGACCCAAAGATAATGAGCAAGAAGAAATTAAATGCTGGATAATCCATAAATAGACAAGGAATAACTAAATGACAGGTAGGGCACATGTAACCTATATAATTTGTTGTCTTACCTCCCAAGTAGACTTAAATCCTAAAGCAGACAGAGAAAATAAATATTTATAGCCTTAACCAAGGTATCAGCTCTATCAAGCATCCATATAATCGGATATTTCCCATCTCAGGAATAGAAGACTGCTCAACAGAACAGGACATCACAGAGCAAAGGCCTATAAGATACTTGGGTGACCATCTAATCCAACACCCTCAATTTGCAGTTAAGGAACTTCTGGCCTAGTCAAGCAACCTGATCCAAGCCAACAACCAATATCAGTGCCAATATGAAAGCCAACATCTCTCAGTGTTCTTTTCATAGCACCATACCACTGCTACCAAAGGTACACCATGGCAGCTAACACCTACTCATCACCCACAAATATTTGCTCAGGATGCAATTTATATATTGTAATCCAGGAAATATCACCATATACAATAACCACAGCTTGCCAATTTGGGAAACTGCTAAAGCGCACTCTGCCTGTCCCTAAAACCCAAATTACTTTCTACTCACAGCATTCACTTATATCCACAGAAACTGGCCAAATGCTCCTCAGATATATTCCACTCTTATATTTCCCAAGGAGAAAGTGATACAAAAATCACCGCATGAAATTAATGAGGATAGAATTAGTACCTTCCCCAGAAAGCAATCTCTGGTGTGCCTTTCGTGTAGATGGAGTCACTGGTGTCATTCAGCCCGTTGGTGATCCCACTAGAATAACCCATCACTATTCCACCATCTGCTGAGACACTCAGGACATCTTGCTGTCCTGCCACTGTTGTCCTCTCCAGAAACTGACTGCCTTCTTTAATGCGCTGCTGTATCATTGGAGTGAGAGGCATTTCAAAGCTAAAATAGCTATCAGGTTCTGAATATAATGTCTCCAAGGACTCAGCACTGTAGTATAAGGAAGTGTTGTCCAAAATGGTTTCAAACTGGGAGCTGTACACATCAGTGGAGTCCTCTGTATACGCAGGCCCAAGGACATCGTCATCTCCTCCCCTAAAGTGCTCCTCTTGCTCAAGAATCCTAGAAAGAAAATAAGAATGAAGAATTTCAATATTAGGTTAATATTCTTTTTACTTTTTCCCTTTCAACCATATAACCATATAAGAAAGATAATATTCCGTAAAGCTAACAATTTTGTTCTTTGGGTTATGTTTTAATATATTTGAAAAGGAAGCTATCACAGAAACATATTCGGGTTGAAGAACCTCTTAGCATACATGTGCTGTCTAAATAATTTCTGTAGTTTCAAACTAATTTCCTAGTATGTGACTATATTTGAATGAAATATTAAACTCTCATTTTAGCCAACTAAACTCCACAAATTCAAATTGTTAACAGCCACTGTCATCCTTAATTTTAACAGAACACAGATAAATATACTGTGTAAACTTAATGGAGTAAAAATACACTAAACTTTCATCGGTCTATTAATACATTCTGATTTAAACAAGACCAACTGCCCTCAAGAGGATGAGAAGATTAGAATCCAAGGGCCGCCCCCTGCCGACAACAAGGCAGCACTGCAGAGAGTTTTCAGACCCAAAATTCGACAGCCAGCAAATGACCTTTAAAAACAAAAACAATTTTTTTAAAAGCCAACAAACATGTTTATTGAAAGGCTAACCAAAACAGTGAAAACCTATAAACAATTAATTAGTATGCAGCACTGTGTTCAAATATTAAAAATGAATATTAGGATAATTAAGTAAATTTTTTTAAACTCCATAACAGCAAAGCTCAAGAGTTAGAAAAACCTGGGGCTGAATGTTGGATGTGCCAATTACCAGCTATATCACTTTAGAAAACCTTACTTAATCTCTCTAAGCCTCAAATTCCTATAAATAAGAATAAAAATAGAAAACTACCTCACGTAAATCTATTATGAGGATTCACAATCAACAATACAGTTGTCTTTGCTGTTTTTAAATTATAAAGGTCTACCACATACCAAATAGTATTCTGAGTCTCTTAATGGCTTCTCACTGCCCATGGAATAAAATGGGAAGCTCCTCCCTACCTCTCCATGCTCATTTCCCAACCCCACAGCTCCTTATGCTCCAACCACACTATTGAGTTTCAAATCTTCTCACTTTCCATAAAGACTTCATTTCACACAACTCTAGGAAGCACACATAGCTAGGCAATCCAGCAGCTCTCCTTTGCACATTTTGTTCCCTTCCTCCCTGGAATATTCTTCTTCCCCATTTTCTGCCTGATTAACTCATATTCATTTCTCAAGTCTCAGCCTACTTATCATTTCTACAGAAAGGTCTTCTCTAAGCCATCAACCAAATTTATTTTTTTCTAGTATGTCTCTGTTATTTTCCTTCCCAGAACCTACCACAATTTGTGATCCTATAATTATTAACATGTTTATGTAGTCAGTGTTTATCTTTAGCAGTAAACGCCATGAGGGAAATGACCACAAGTTATTATCTATTTTGAACATTCTTTTATGTCCAGTATTTAGCAGGGTCAAGAACATCACAGACAGTCAAAAACTATTTGTGGAAGAAGGGAGAGGGGAAGGGTGGAATAAATTAATAATATGTACAATAGCAAAAGTGTATATTTCAGTGGGACTATAACTACTGAGCCATGCGCCGCATACCAAGGCTGCTTTTGAGGGACGTCTAGAGATTTTATGTGTTAGGGGGGTTGGGGAGGAAGAAGTGGAGAGGAGGAGTCCTGATAACCTTCCTAAAGGAGCATCACTCTAGGTGGATTTGTTAATTAACTACAGAGGAAAATGTATTTCCTTACACCAAACAAACAAACAAAAAACCCTTCAGCCTTGACACAGATGTTCTCCCACATAAACTATAAAATGTGATGCAATGAGGACTGATGGATGAAAAGATGGTACAAGTTGGAAATGAGAGTACATGACAAATGACTTTGCCAGAAGGAGCACTGTATGGTCAAGACAGCAATGAAAAGAACTGAACAAAGATGAGTTATGTCTTCCATTTATCCAGGCTCTAAGCTGATATGGATGTCAGAAATGTATGGCAAGATCAGGAGGTACCATATCATGCTAAGATGATTTATCAGGCCCAAAATCAAAACATATGCTACTTGTAAGAAGGGATTCTCATGTGAATGCCACAGAACAACTGAATTCGAAAGTCTACTTCTGACCTCTTGACCTCCTTTCTAAACCTAGAAAACTGGGGCAACCCAAACCCAAACCTCTGCGTTCACACGTGTATGCGGCTTGTATATAGGCACTGGTGTTGCACACAGAAGAAGTGCCTAAGATAGGATATAGTGACTATAGGATATGTCAAGAGTCCAAACCTTTTCATATTATTAAAGATAACCGTGGGGTATTTTAGTTACCTTAATGTTGGAAAAGTTGAAACCTGTCAAACATAAAAAAACGTCAGAAATGGATCCACATGAGTATGGTGTTCACAGCCTCTCTGTAACTCTGCCTCCCCAGTTTATGCCTAATGCACAGCTTTATAACAAGATCACTTTTATATCTTAGAGACTTAGAAGGAATCTGGCTTCTAATAAATTCTCTTCCATTCTATGATAACAAGGACCCAGGATATTATGTTGAGTTCTCATGGCCAAGCACAGGATAAAGATCTCTTATAATGTGTACAAGGCATCACAGACAGCAGGATGACTGTGGGAGCTCACCTTTCCTTGTCTCTCTCCAGTTCAGGTTTCTTCTCAAGATGTTCTTTGTTTTCCTTTAGGAAGACTTCATCCTCTCCACTCTCAACAAGAGGCAGAGGGGAAAACGTCCCTGAGCTGGTGCCCAGCTTCTCTGATGATCTCCAGGTTTCATCCCAAACACTCTCAGTTAAACCAACTGAATTATACAAACCAGCACATGAAATGAGATGGGTTGGCACTCTGGAAAGTTCTCTGTTTTCAGGAGAGGTGCTCCTTTCCAATGATATCTCAAAATCCACAGGATGCTGTATCTCTCTTTTCTCCCCTCCTGTCCACAATATTTCCACCCCTTGAAATTCCACATGTTTGACCCGGCCTGGGCGTCCTGTGGAGCTACCTTGATCAGACCTCTTCTCTCTCAAAAGAGCAACACTGCCTGCAGAGGTATGCGTCACTGCTGGGCTCCCCAGGGAGGATATAGAACAAGCTGGCTCCTGCACATGGACAGCCCCTTTTCTACCATTATTAGTTATCTTGGAAAGCTCTGCCTGAGCCTCTCCAGTTAATAGTACAGTCTGATCCTTCTGGATGCTCAAATAAAAGTTCTCCTCAGTCGTAACTTCAGCTGAAAGAGGTATATCTGGTGCTTTTTCTTGGCCAGCAGGAAATAATTTTTTGGCTCCCTGTCTCTTTGTTTTATGAGGGACAGTGTCCAGCTCTTTATCCACCTGCTGAACTGAAAAACTAGAAATAGCATCTTTGTTCAGTACCTTTGTAGCCTGTAATGTTCCTGAAGCTTTTCTGGCTTCTGTGGCTTTCAGAGTTGAAATCAAGGAGTCAATGGGTTGTAAACTTTGTTCCTTGAGGTGACTTTGAGTGAGGGACTCTCTGACATCTTTTGGTCCGTCGGTAACACTCTCAAGCCCAGACTGGTGGCCATGAAGAAGCTGGACCCCCAGCTGCCCTTGTGGGCAGCCTGGCAGAGACTCTGTATCAAACCCAAGAGAAGTTCTTAGGCCTTCTCCACTATCCTCCATGGTCCCATATTCTGGAAATTCATTTGTGACATTTGGTGGGAGTAAAGTGCTTCCTCCATGATCACCTACGAGTAGAACAGAAGGGACACATAACTTGTTTTGAACAATAGGTTAGAATATGTAATGATAAATATCCACACATATTAGGTACTCAATAATCCTTATTTGATTCTTTCACTGTCTCCTGCCCTCAACCACTCTGCAACACATCCTTCTTGTAACTTTGCCAATGGTCCCTTCCATTTAGCTTACATGAAAGTAACCACAAAGGTTTTAGTATAGAAAGAGGCAATCTAATGACACATGCCATATTTCACCCTCCTTTTGATAAAGTCCCACACAGAAAACTCAGTTGCTGCACATGCAAAAAGAGACTAAAATAAAATACCTATCACTTTTATGTGATACCATTTATGAAGTAGTAACTAAAATATTTATATTTGGAATAAAAACAAACAGCCTTACGATCCAGCCAAAAGTATCTGTGCAGTGCAATCTCTGAGACAGAGCCTCAGAACAAAGATATGATCTACCTAAAGTCAGTAAATACTTTTTTGGCTGGAAGCCTCCCCTTCACTATTAGATTTCTCTGGGGGGTGGGAAATGCCTCCAGAACATCCCTGGACAATGAGACTAAAGTCAAAATGGAATAGGATACTTCATGTGTTAAGAAAATTTTCCAGGATCCCAGCCACATAAAATTTAAACAGTGTGTTACGTAGAACCCCAATATATGAAGCAGTGAAAACAAGAATTAGTATATTTTTACTACAGTGAACCAAATTTACATTTTCTTACTAAAATAGCAGTCATTGAGAACAATGAAAACATTCTGATGAATAAAAATTTTAACTGAGAGTTTATGGAGACCAGTTACAGTTACATCAACCCTACTATTCAATTTTCTTCCAAACTTGGTTTTGGTTACTTTGTATCAAGAAAATCCTCATCTACAGTAGAAATGCAGTGTACTCACTTTAACAACTTTATTCAAAAGGACATTTGTTGTGTTGTTGTTGTCGTTTTTTTAATGTTTATTTACTTTTGACAGAGAGAGAGAGAGAGAGAGAGAGAGCGAGCGCATGAGCAGGTGAGGGGCAGAGAGAGAGAGAGACACAGAATCCGAAGCAGGCTCCAGACTGAGCTGTCAGCACAGAGCCCGACATGGGGCTCGAACTCACAGACCGTGAGATCATGACCTGAGCCAAAATCAGATGTTCAACCGACTGAGCCACCCAGGCGCCCCTGTTGTGCTGTTGTTTTTAAAGCACTGTGAATTACAACCTTCCTATTTAGTGAAATGTTAGATAAATGTCTGAATATATACACTGAACATGAAAAACTTGATTCTAAGGCATGTACAAAATGAACTTAACTTAGAAATGTGTTGGGGCACCTGGGCGGCTCAGTCAGTTAAGCGTATGACCTCGGCTCAGGTTATGATCTCGCGGTCCGTGAGTTCAAGCCTCGCGTCAGGCTCTGTGCTGCCAGCTCAGAGCCTGGAGCCTGTTTCAGATTCTGTGTCTCCCTCTATCTATGACCCTCCCCCATTCATGCCCTGTCTCTCTCTGTCTCAAAAATAAATAAATGTTAAAAAAAAAAGAAAGAAATGTGTTAACATATGGTATCCCCCAGTATGCAAAATATACGATCAGTAATACATCTGAGAGTATATACTGTTTAATATTCCATATTTTAAACAATTAGAAATATATTTTTAAAATTAAATTTGAATAAGGTATGGATGGAATCCAAGAAGCACTTCTCTGTGATAGCAGTATTTATAACACCTTCATAAGACAAGACTAAGAGAATGTGGCTTGGTGAAATCTGAAGAGGGAGCATCTCTTCAAATCCTGATTTTGAAAACAAAGATAGTTAAAAACAGTAAGATTCCTTTTCCTCAGGTGCATATTGACATTTTTCCCTCTTTTAAGATTCAGTGGCTTGTAATATGCTCCCAAAATTATACTATTACCACTCTCTAATTCCAGAACATTTCACCACAGCCCCAAACAGACCCATATCTATCAGCTGTCACTCCCTATTGCCCTATCTCCTCAGCCCCTGATAACTACCAATCTTCATTCTTTCTCTGGATTTGTGTATTCTGAACATGTCATAAAAATGGAATCCTATAATATGTGGCATTTGTATCTGACTTTTTTCACCTAGCACAATGATTTCAATGTTTATCCACATTGTGGCATGTATCAGAACTTCATTCTTTTTTATTGCCAAATAATATTCTATTGTATGGATATACCACAGTTTCTTTATTCATTCATCAGTTGATGGACATCTGTGTTGTTTCTACTTTTAGGTTATTAGGATTAACAAACATTTGTATATAAGTTTTTGTGTCTACATTTATTTTCAATTTTTGTGGGTAATACATCTATGAATGGCATTTCTGGGTCTCATGATAATTCTGTTTCATGCCTGAGAAGCTCCCAGTTTTCCAAAGCAACTGCACTATTTTACATTCCTACCAGCAAAGTTTGAGAGTACCATTATTGTCCATCTTTTTTTTTTTTTTTAATTTTAGCTGTCCTGGTGGGTACTGAATGGTATCTCACTGTGGTTTTGATTTGCATTTCCCTAGTGACTGATATTGAGCATCTCGCCATATACAAATTGGTAATTTGTACATTTTCTATCTATTCAGATCCTTTGCCCATTTTATAACTCAGTTACTTGTCTTTTTATTATTAAGCTGTAAGAATTCTTTATATAATCTGGACAGAAATTCTTTATCAGATATATACTTTGCAAGTATTTTCTCCCATTCTGTGGGCTGTCTTTCCCTTTAGTTGATGGTGTCTTTTGAAGCACAAAAGTTTTTAATTTTGATAAAATCCAACTTATCTACTTTTTCCTTTCATTGGTTGTGCTTTTGGTGTTATATGTAACAAATCATTATCCAATCCAAGGTCAAAAAATTTATTCCTATGTTTTCTTCTAAGATTTTTACAGTGTTAGCTACTACACTTAGATTTTTAATACATTTTGAGTTAACTTTTGTATATGGTGTGAAGTAGAGACCCAACTTCATTTTTCATGTTGGATATCCAGTTGTCCCAACACTATCTGTTGAAAAAACTTCCATCTCCCACTGAACTGCCTCGATATCCTTGTAGAAAATCAACTGACCATAAGTTTAAAGGTTTATTTCTGGACTCTCAATTCTATTCCATTGAGCTAAAAGCCTATCTTGTTGCTGGTATTACACCATCTTGATTATCATAGCTCTGTGGAAAGTAAAATCAGGAAGTGTATGTTCTACTTTATTCATCCTTTTCTAAGTTGTTCTGACTATTCTGGGCCCCTTCCATTTCCCATATGAATTTTAGGATCAGTTTGTCAGCTGATATTTTGAGAGAGACTGGGGTGAATCTGTAGAGTACTGGAATCTTAACAATAATACTATTACATCTTTTGACCTATGCCATAGACTGTCTTTCCATTTAATTTTCTTTAATTTCTTTTAGCAAATTTTTATAATTTTAAATACACAAATTATGCATTACTTTTATTAAATTTATACCCCTTAGTGTTTTATTCTTTTTGCAACTATTATAAGTAGGATTCTCATTTTTAAAATTTCATTTGCAGATTATCCATTGATAGCACATAGAAACATAATTGGTTAACGTACACTGAACTTACATCTTGTAACCTTGCCAAACTTTTTAACTTCTAATAGCTTTTTTATGGATTCCTTAGGATTTCCTATATACAAAATCATGTCATCCATGAAAATAAATAGTTTTACTTTTTCTCTTCTTTCTTATCTGGATGCCTCTTATTTATTTTCCTTGTCTATTTTCCCTGGCTAAAACCTCTACTATAATGTTGAAAAGAAGCAGTAAGAGCAGACAACCTTGTCTTGTTCCTAAATTTAAGAGAAAGCTTTTAGTTTCTCACCATTAAGTATAATGTTAGCTGTGGACTTTTCACAAATGCCTTATATCCGGCTGAAGAAGATCCCTTCTATTCCTAGTTTGTCAAGTGTTTTTATCATGAAATGGTGTCAAATTCTGTCAAATGTTTTTTCTGTTAACTGAGATGCTCATGTGGGTTTCGTCTTTTTTTCTAGTAACCATTATTATATCAACCGATTTTTATATACTGAACCAATCTTGCATCCCTGGAATAAATCTCATTTGGTCAGAGTGTATAATCCTTTTTATATTTTGCTAGATTCAGCTTTCCAGTATTTTTGCTGAGCAATACTGGTCTGCAGTTGTCTTGTACTATCTTTGTCTGGTTTTGGTATTAGGGTAAGCTGGCTTCACAAAATGAATTGGGAACTATCCCTATATTGGTACCTTTTTACAACTTTTAAAAACATTGTTCATGTTTTACACTTTTTTAGGCTTTTAACAGTTTTCTGTGTTCATCAGTTTCTTCAACACTTCCAAACTATAAATTTATTGTTAATATGCAATGAAAGAAAATGGTCAATAATCCAAAAAGATGTTTTTCTTTCTTTAACATAGTAAAAGAGCTTAAAGTAGATAGAGAAGTATTTAGTCCCCAGTAGGATATATTTCCTTTAGATTTTAAATGTTTTTCATTATTTCTCTAAGCTAGGGTATACCTTTACAAATATTCAAGGATCAAAGAACATAGAATTTCAAAGGTTGAAGGGATTTAAGAATTAATTCAGCCAGCTAACATAATTAAGGCAGGCAGCTGAGAAGGCAGGTTCAACTGAATGATGTACTCTACCAAAATAAATAAAAGTCAGAGCTTATCTATTCCACCTTCACTATGCTTTACATCCCTCCCTGCCCCTCCATCTTTATTGGTAGTAAGGTACTCTAATAAGTGTGTCTTCAAACTTTTCCCTGAAACTTAAAAATCTTCTGAAACAGTTATCCAAAACCCAGCCTCATTTTCCCACTTTGTTCCTAAAACAAAAGTTTATGTTGCTTTCAGTAGTTCTGCACTGCCTAGAGAATAAAGTCTAAAGTCCAAACTCGTTGATCTAGAAGTCAGGATCCATAACCCAGTCCCAATGTATCTTTCTCAAACTATTCTCTTTCTCTTGATCAACCCC